ATTTTGACTTTTTTTTTTTTTTTTTTTTCGAGTTTCTAAAATTCTTTAATCATTTGAATGTAACCATCATCTTGAAATTTGATGTTAAAGATCCTCAATAAAATCTCATAAATTAAAATTTTAAAAATTAATTATTGTCGGGACTCGAATATTCAATGGCGAATCACGCCATAAAGTCGGTAGATTTATCAGTATAAAAATTAAAAACCCAATTACCCAATAGAACTAAAAGAAAAAGAAATGGCCAAATTCAAAATTATTCCTTCATTTCTTCTTCTTCTTCTTTTCTCACAATCCTTGTCTCCATCTCTTTGTTCGGAGACCAAAGGAAGTGTCTTCCCTGCCTTTATCCGTTGGCATGTGACCGTCACCAATGGCTTAAACGGGGCGGTAGCCATGTCGGTTCATTGCCAATCACAGGACGATGATCTCGGCCTCCACACACTCCCTCCGACCGCCGATTTCTCATGGAGTTTTGAGGCCAATTTCTTCCACACCACACTCTTCTGGTGCCGCCTTCAGAAAGGCGGCGGAGGCGGCGGCGTTGAGGCAGCTTTTAAGGTGTTTTGGCATGATGCCCGGTTGTTTGAGAAATGTGGGTGGAAGAACTGCGTTTGGATCGCCAAAGATGATGGCATTTACATTAAGAACTTTGCCAAGGGGATTGATGAACTTAGTTATACATGGGAAGGTTGAATTGAATATCAGTTTTAATCCATTTTTTGTTTGTTTTTTTATTTTGTTTGGTGTTTATCGGACCGAAATGTTTCAATTTGGTTGCTCGTGTTTTAAATAATAGAGATTAAAGTAAGAAAACACGAATTTTGATAAGAATTGGAATAAAATTTTTAGATCGATTAAGTATGATATAAGTCTAGAAAGTTGACCTAATAAATACACTAAATTCATCAGCTATCGCTCGATTAGCATTTTTTACTCCCGTTTGAACGACAAATGGTGTCCCTCTTGTTGGACATTTGAATTCACGAGTACCAACAAAAGATCAAGAAATTACCCGATCTTGTACATTTGTAACAGCCACAATTGTATCGTTGAAACTTGCTTCAGTCTTTTTGTATGTGTTGTCCGAAAAGGGGAGGACTTTGATTATTCGATAGCTGAAATCAGAAGCCAAAATTTTGATAGATAGAGATCCCATAAAAACTTCTATCGATGAATGGGCTATAGACGTTTTGCTAACAAGAAAAACACATAGAAAATGGGGGACCAACAAGAAAAACTATTCTACACGTAAGGGCAAATTAGTAATAAACCAAAAAGAATAGTTCGTTCACTTTATTCCACTTTATGCTTTTTTTTTTTTATATAAAAAAAAATAAGTATATAATTTCTAATTATGCCTGCATTTTAATTACATTCAACAAAAATACTAAAACACCAATTTAAGCATAGTTCAACTAAACACCAATTTAAGCATAGTTCAACTAAATGGAGAGGATTACTCACACCAATTTGAGCATAATCACACCAATGAGCATAATTCGATTAATAACACCAATTTGAACATAGTTCAACTAAGGATTAATCAAATCAAATAATATCATTGGAATAATAATAAAAAGAAAAAAAGTAAAGAATTTTTATTGCATCTGAAAAATGTCACCTTCAATGGTGCCATACCAAAAACTATTCCCAAAGAACAAAAAATGTAAATATACCAAAAATGACCTTAGTTCACACTTTCATCTCCTACAGAAGACCTAATCTTTACAGTGAATTTGCTCATCTTCCACTTTCAGACAACATTGAAAAATTCAGTGCAAAAAGCACAGAAGCTTGAAACAAGTTCAGAGTTCATATTCCAAATGCAAGTGGAAATGGCTATGAAACAAGTTCTATTATGATGGAGGAAAAGAATCTTGAATATCATGCAGTGGGAACCATGGTCCAGGAAGAAACATGGAAATGCCTCTCGAGTTTGGAATACTTCAACGACCACGACCACGACAACAACAACCACGTCAAGTTGGATCTATCAGCATCAGCATCAGCATCCTGGACCCAACCACGACCAAATGCAACACAATAGTTTCGTGTAAAAAGAAATTCTCTACTTTCTTTCTATCACAATCTAACAGAATCACAAGTCAGGAAAAGGGCTAGGATGCCATGAATGATCAAAACAAGATCCAAAATGCAAAAGGGGTATAGATTTTTATTTACAGGGACGTGGTTGGTTGTTACATGTTATTTGCGAATATATATCGTATTAGCAAGCAGCGGACGGGCATGTTCAAAGCTTTCGACGCTCTAACATGCACCAAAACTTGCCCAGAAAGTGTGTTTCTTGAGTCCATGCATTCAAAATATTAACCTACAATATGTGAAAGACGAGTAAATAACGATGTGAACCGAACTTATTTCGAAGTGCAACTAATCTATGGACAAAGAATCATACAACCAATGAGTATTTTGAACTTCCGAAAAGATATATGAAGAAGTTTACCTGATTGATGATTTTCATGGTTTTCAGGAACCCGACTCGTACCTGGCCGGATCGTATTCGGTTGAACTGGCTGATGATTCTGTAAAAGGTTAAGGTTCCAATTTGCAAGGTTGATAATCTAACACGCTGAATTTCAATACAGAATGAAGGTAACATGCGAAAAAGTACCTGCAGAGGCTGAGTCATATGGAACGGCATCTGGTTCGAGCTAAGAAACTGCTGATATGAATCGGGAAAACCCGAAACTGAAGGTGGGGTTGCATTTTGTGTTCCAACTGAGTTAGCCATTGGATTGAGTTGATTATTCGTCGCTTGAGCTCGAGATGGATCGCTGTCGGGAACAGGAGACATTGCGAAGGGAGGGAGAGGGAATCTCGGGCCCATATGAGCTGCTGCTGCTGCTGCTGCTGCAGCCGCTCCAGCTTGCATTGGCAAGTTTGAACCAGCAAGGAGATTATGAAATTGCATCATTGGTCTATTCATGCCCATTTCCATTCCCATCCCCATCCCCATCCCCATTCCCATCCCCATTGGCTGTGGCAAGTATTGCTGAACGCCCGGGAACATCATCGGCATCATTCCGCATCCCATCGACATCATCTGGGTTATAAACAGTCATTGCTGAAGTTATCTAGATGCATCAGCTTATAATGTTTAAGTGCTAGACATTGACAATAATGTTTACTTAATATGCCTTGTTGTATATGTATATGCAGAGAATTCACAATGAACATCTACCAATCTGAGACGTTGAAATGAAGCAGGCAGAATCGCTGCGAATATGTTTTATTTCCTATTCGCTCTACCATCCCTTTGTGAGATATCCCACATTGGTTGGAGTCGGGAACAAAGCATCCTTATAAGGGTGTGGAAACTTCTCCCTATCAAACGCGTTTTAAAAACCTTGAGGGAAAGCTCGAAAGGGAAAGTACAAAGAGGACGATATCTGCTAGCAGTGGGGTTGGGCCATTACAAATGGTATCAAAGTCAAACACCGGGCGATGTGCCAGTGAGGAGACTGAGCCCCAAAAGGGGGTGGACACAAGGCAGTGTGCCAGCATGGATGTTGGGCCCCGAATGGGGGTGGATTGGGGGTCCCACATCAATTGGAGAAGGGAACGAGTGCCAATGAGAACGCTGGGCCCCGAATGGGGGTGGATTGTGAGATCCCACATTGGCTGAGGAGGAGAACGAAACATTCTTTATAAGGGCACTAGAACGCTGGGCCTCGAAGGGGGTGGGTTGTAAGATCTCACATCGGTTGGAGAGGAGAACGAAACATTCTTTATAAGGGCACTAGGACACTAGGCCCCGAGGGGGAGGAGAATTGTGAGATCCCACATCGGATGGGGAGGAGAACGAAGGATTCTTTATAAGGGCACTGGGACGCTGGGCCCCAAAGGGGGGTGGATTGTGAGATCCCACGTCGGCTGGGGAGGATAATGAAACATGCTTCGTAAGGGCACTGGGACGCTGGGCCCCGAAAGGAAGTGGATTGTGAGATTGTCTAGGGAGGAAAACTAAGCATTCTTTACAAGGGCACCGAGACTTCGTGGATTGTGAGATCTCACATCAACTGGGGAGGAGAACTAAGCATTCTTTATAAGACTGTAGAAACCTCTCCCTAGCAAACGCGTTTTAAAAACCTTGGAGGGAAGTTCAACGAAGACAATCGGCCGTTACAGTTTTATTGCTCTAAATAGGAGACATTTCTGATTCATACATTTCCTTATACCAAAGTTAAGCTTATACTTGCATCTCTAAGGAAGAACTCAAAGCATGTACCTGCACTTGCAACTGAAGAGTCTTCAAGTACTCAATCGCTTCATCCAACATCGAAGCCTTATCAGTCTGAAAATCAGTAGGGAACTCAACTTAAGTTTGCACATTAGAAAGAAAGAAACATTCAACTGAAAACCACAACGAAGCTAAGCAACCAACCTTGTTGCATCGAGGTATGAGTTCCTGTAAAGCCTTCATCTTCTCGTTTATCCGATCCCGACGTCTCTGCAAGCAGAATTGCAATATTTCACTTCACATCCAAGAGGAAAACAACACTACCAAAAAGGAAACATTTGCTTGATCACAAGCATACAATAGTACTAATAAACTCAATCGCGCACCCTCTCCGAGAGGTTGTGAACCTCGGCAGCACGAGATCGCTTGGTCGATGTCGACCCCTGCATTTGCTTCTTCAGATCAGCAGATTCGTAGTCAACATCCTAATGAAAAAGAACATTAGCAAATCACCCAAGAACTGCAAAACAATACATTCAGCAACTATCTGTGGAGCTTTCAATGGCCACTGTTCAACCACGCATTTCAAACAGTTTGATTTGATGCAATTCTGTTTCATATGATCGTAGTGATTTTTCGTTAAGATACTGATGAAGTGTAACAGTCTTAGAAAAGGACTAAAGTTTTGTTTACATCGCTTTGGCACTCCGTGTCATCGAGAGCTCTTCCCTTTCGCTTCCGGTCATCGGCAGCAAGTTTCGGACAAGGGGGCTCGGCGCTGGCGCTAGAGTCGCCGGGAGACGAAGTAACAGTTATTTCACAAGTCGTCATCTCTTTCTCCCCAATGCCATCGCCACCGACCGACGAACCTCCGATTCCACAGTTGCCGCGAGCGGTCTCGTACCGCACATCACCACAACTCACCACCTCCACAAGCTTCCTCCTCACCATCTCCGAAGCCCTAGACTCCGGCCCCACAGACGGCGTGTCACAAGAATCAACCATCGTCGATTCCCGCACCATGAACTTCGAATTCAATGGCTCCGATTCGCCCGTTGCTTTGTTCCTCGAGAACTGCATAGAAGTCTGCGCTTCTGGAATCCGGCTAGGAGGAATCGGTGGCCGCGGTGTGAGAGTGACCGTCGCTGTTGTAGACGGTCGGAGCTCCGGTTGAGGATTGGCGCAAAGAGGAACAGAGATGGCGGGGAAGAGGAGGTCGGAGCAGAAATTATGATCCTCAACGAGAGGATAGTTAAGCCAAGCGGCCATTTCATCTTCTTGCATAAAGAGTTCATGAGGTTCCTCCAAATGAGCCGACGGCCGGATCTCTCTCACCGCCGCCTGATCTTGCGGAATCGAACCATCGAATTTGGACGGCGGAGATTTACGGACCGACCTCTGGTTCTGGCTATGTGTCACCACTTGACCGTTCTGCCATAGCAGCTCCACCACGTCATCATCCGGCCTACGAATTTCAAACTCTCAGTCCATA